GAAAATGCAAGCAGGCTGTACACAGGAAAACAACGAGTAACAGTTAGCATTGTGCTCGTGCTTTCTGTGTTTCTGACATCCAGTGCTACCCAGCATTCCCTCCAGCTACACGGGCACCGGGGGCTTTAACCCCAGTTACAAACGGATAACTGAAGCACAGAGACGTTAGGGAACTTGCTACAGTCAGCACAACAGCAGAGGATGTGAACACATGCGATGTGGCTCAAAAGTCCCTACTTTTAACCACTCCACAAAATCTGTTATCAATAAATCCTCGTCGAAATAATGAATTAAGTTATTTCGGTAATGTGTGGTGAATATTCCAGCAGGGGACGGCAGACTTCCTTCCCAGCACACTAGTGTCTTTCGCACAAGCTATGAAACATTTATGGGAACTCACAGGTCACGGAGAACCTTATTCATCCTCCACTTGTCTAAACCATCCTGGCCCTTCCTGGCACAGGACGACTGACCTCGACAGAGAAAGCATTCGTAGTCCCGAGTGCAGGTGGAAAGACTGTCTCCACAATTCAACATACATTTTCAATTTTTTAATGTTAAAGAAATAGGGACTTTCTATGCCAAGAATTTATTACCAGAATCTAGTTTGAGTTGGTTTCTATAACAAATTCACATCTCTCAGATCTTCTCTGCACCCTCACTTCTGCAGCACGGGGCCAAGCTCCTCTTTTTCTTTTTGTTTGTTTGTTTTATGAGGAGGAGGTAATGGGTTTTTGTATTTATATTTGGAGGGGGTACTGGGGATTGAACCCAGGACCTCGTGCAGGCTAAGCATGCTCCCTACCACTTGAGCTATACCCTCCCCACGAAGCCCCTCTTTTTTTTTTTAAAGCAACTTGTTTAAATTTTCAGGTGTAAATTAGAAATATACTGAATAAATACATGTTCACAGAAAAACTGGTGCATGAGTGCTCAGAGCAGCATTCTTCATGGTGGTCTAAGCTAGGCGGCGACCCAGTGACCGGCGCGCAGGCAAGTAACAGGCAAGTAAAGGGCGTCACGTTCACACAAGGCAATATCACTTCCGTTCACTGTGATTGGAAATGAAGTGCAGGTTCAGGCCACCACAGGGATGAACCTTTAAAACATTACGCTAAGTGAAAAAAGCCAGTCACGAAAGTCCACAAGTCATGCAATTCCATTGCAGAAATTGACCAGAATAGGCTACATTCAGAGCCCTAAAGCGGACTAGTGGTTGTGCAGGGCTGTTGGGTAGGGTAGGGAGTGACTGCAAGTGGGTATGGGGTTTCCTTTAGGGAGGCCAAAAATATTATAAAAATAACATGTCCTGATGTTGCACAACTCTGCAAATGTCCTGAACTCACTGAATTGTACACATTAAATGGATGTGTGATAAGTGAATTATTCCCCAATAAAGCTGTGCAAAAAAGAATATATTAAACAACTCTCTTTTTTAGTTATTATTATTTTGGGGGGAGGTAACTAGGTTTATTTATTTATTTTTTAGAGGAGGTGCTGGGATTGAACCCACGGCCTTGCACATGCTGAGTATGTGCTTCACCACTTGAGCTACACCCTCCCCTCTAAAAGAGGGACACACTGAGTAACTCCCGTAAGGAGGGGAGTTAGTGCAAAAGCAGCAACCGTGTGCTGCTTCTCTCAAATAAAACACAGGGGCTGAGTCAGCAACCATGAGAACAAGCTAAACATAAGCACGTAACATGACTACATCTCAGCGCATCTTTGTCCTCACTTCAAATATTTTTTAACCTTTAATCCATCAATTTTGGTGAGCTGTGAAAATTAATAAGTGAACAGCTCTCTTACCTCCCAAGTCAAACAATAACACAGTCCCCATTAATCCCTCCTAAATTTAAGGCTTTTTTGGGACATTCTCTCAATTTAATAGTATACTTCCTTCAATCATGAAAATGAATTTTGAGCAGCAGAATTAAAAGACCCATGTCCACACATGTATGCATAGTGATATCTTTAGCTTTAATGTGCGCAAGGAAGTGAATGGTTTTGGACAGAGCTTCTGCTTTGTTGACTGTATGGGAGGAAAAACACATGCATTTCAGGCCAAATTCTCCTGTTGGATAAACTGTTCCCCGGGAGTAAGCGAGGCGTTACATTAGCTCTTTTGATGGAGCAGTAAGGGAAGTGATACCCAGTGACTTAGAAAGCGCTCTGACAAAGCTGCTACAAGAAAAGGAGACCATCGTTCAGCTGAAAGAGGAGCTCCAGCTGCAGACGTAGGAAAGGCCAAGGCCAAGTGTGCTGCAGCCTCTTCCTGCCCGCGCCCATCCCCCTCACCCTCGTCACTCACAGAGCCACATCCATCCACGCGGGCTGCACTGCCCAGCCCTCTTCTCACTCACGTCACCCTCTATGTCTGGAACGACCTTCCTACTCTCACGACACTGACTTATTTAATTGTTCTTCTTAAGGACAATGTCAAAAACCAACTTCTTAAAGAATCCTTTCCTGATCTCAGGAAATAGGTGTGATTGCCAACAAATCATACTATTTTAAACAACAAAACTCGGTGAGCATGGTAGGTTAGTACTTCACAGCTGAGGAAACAGGCTTAGAAGTTTCCAGATGGCTTGAGAACTAACAACTGGCATCAATCCTCAGACTCAGGAAACCCAGTGAAGGCAAATGTGCTAGGAAATGTTTAACAGCTGGCTCTCTGTGTGTTTTTTAAGCCCTAATTTATAGTGTTTGCCAATTTCCTTAGTGTTTCCTACCATGGATTTCAAGCTACCAATGTGTTATGACGGGAACATTCACTAGGTTGAGAGATGGCTGTCATATTCTTCCTTCAGCACTTTTGTATCATTAAAAAAATTGGACCTCACAATTTAAAATTACCACTGCTCCCATTTCCCCAAACGCTAGAGAGACTGCACGAGTTGGTGCCCCCCTACACGTGTCCCCTCCCGCTTAGTCACAACCACATAGCCGTGGCACCATTCTGGGGTAAAAGCCACCCCACTTACCACCAAGGTGGGTCCTCGTTGCTCTCTGGCTGGTGAGTGATCCCACTTCAGAACCCCATCGCTAGGTCGCCTCACATGATCAAACCAGGGCCGACTGTCTTGGTGTGGGGGTACAACAAAGATTTGAGTGCTGTTTGCTTGGGAGAGGGTCCCCGGAAGCACCAGCGGGGAGTGGGGAAAGGGACCAGATGGGACGGGAACTAGAAGGGCGGTGTTCTGTTTAACTGGAGCTCAAAACTGAGACCCCGGAAACTGGTGGAGAACACACTTTAGATGTGCCTCCTGCCCCCAGGGGTGAGGGTCCCACCCAGTCACTGCTAGCGGTTGCAGGCACTTCAGGTCTCCCCCAAATGCAGGCAGCGCAGGCTCTGGTGGTCAGAAAAAGACAAAGGGAGCAGGCAAGTCATCTCAGGGTCTAGCGGCTGGCGCTGGCCCAGGTGCAGTGAGGTGTAGTGCAGGGCACATGGGCTCGGCCTGCAGACCTGCTGAACCCCTAATACTGTAAGTGCTCTTTTTCAATCAGCTATGACAGAGTTTGAAAGACGTAATTGTAATGACAGAGGAGAATGCAAATTCTCGACAGTAGAAAAATAAAACTAACAGTGCTGGGTGAGGGGGCAGGGCAGGCGAGAAAGAGTATAAATGTACTGATTTCCTCGTTTCCCATTCCAAAGAGCCAGCAGGTAACATATAACTTTATCAGTAATGATTAAGGTAAAGCCACAACATCTTCCACCATTAGGACTAAAAGTAATGTAATTTTTAAAATTAGGAGCTGAAAAAGAAGATATGTTTTTATCCTTTGAGAAGATGCTGTTTACGATTGGTGGGTCAGGATGCACATTACCTAGCATTATAATAAAAAGAACCAGAAGAACGGAAAGCAAACTTAATAGTAGTTGGGTCTAGCTATGGCTCCAGGTGACGTCAGGGGAGTAGGGAGGACGCAGAGACTTCGACTTTTCTTTTAGTATATCTTCCCCTTTTGTTTGGATTTTAAACTGTTAGAATGAGTTACTTCCACAACAAACAAAACAAATGCAAATCAACCATAGTCTAATTTCAAAAAATAACTTTGAAATGCCCTTAAATAGAATACTATGCAGGAGTTTAAAAGAATGATGTGGGATCTATATGCACATACATCAAAGATGATCAGGACTTATTAAGCGAAGTTAGTAAATTAAAAGGCAGCAAACAAAGGATACAAATTAGGGAAGTGGAAAAAGTAGGTATGTGCAGGTAACATATCTATGTAAGGTTGTCTGGAAAGGCATACCAACAGATGCCGCCAGCGTGGGAGGAGAGTTGGGCTGGCCAGGAAACCTCGACGTTTACTTTCCTACCTGACATACACCATTTGTGTATCAGATGATAACCTGCAGACCCCCCGCATAGAGTCCCCTGGGCTACTCGAGAAAATGATTGCGAGAACCTGCTACAGACCCACTGAGCGAGAGTCCTGTGGAGTTCTGGAACCTGCACTTTTTTCTCTAAGCTTCCTAGTAGCTTTGGAATCCCTCGCCTTCCCCAACATGTTATTGCGAAACTATGCAAACACACAGCGTGTAAAGAACAGCACAACGGCACACTGAAAGTCCACACACGTTCCGCTGCACCCCAGGTGGATGTGCTCTCTCGGTGAAAGTGCAAGCTCGCACACACAGGCATGCCTGGGCATGCCCTCCGGTTGAGCGTGCACACACACCCCCGTTTGCACACACATTTCGGCCGCACCTTGGAACGCGAGTGGCAGACATCAGAACTTTGCCCCGGCTTCCAGCACGCGCGTCCACACCAGCAGCCAGCAGGCGTACACCAGAAACGCTTCAAACGCTGCCGCCCCCGGCCCTGCCTAGCCTCCCACGCTGGCCCCGAAGCCCCCGTCTCCAGAGACCCCCGAGGCCCCGCCAATCCAGCGGTGCCACGAGGCCCCGCCCCGCGCACGAGGCCCCGCCCCGACGTGACGGAGGGCTGCGCGCCGGCGCCGGGGGCGTGGTCTCGGCGCCGTCTCCGCGCGCCGTACAGTGTGGGACGCCCGTCGGCCATTGGCGCGGCTTGGGCGGTTGTCTTGGAGAAGCAAGATGGCGGCGACGGCGGCCGCGGTGGTGGCGGAGGAGGACACGGAGCTGCGGGACCTGCTGGTGCAGACACTGGAGAATAGCGGGGTCCTGAACCGCATCAAGGTCAGGCCGGAGACGGACGGGCCTGGCGAAGGGGAGGCGGGCCGCGGTCGGGGGCCGCAGGGCCTGTGGGGACGGCGGGCGTCACAAAGGGTCGCGGGGCGCGTCGGACAGCCGCCCGGGCTGGGGTCGGACCGCGCGGGGGCCGAGGGTCACTCCTGGTTGAGGCACCCGGCCGCGCGGCGTAGAGCGGGTGAGGAGGCCCGGCCAACCTTCGTCGGAGGAGGCCGACCACCGGCGTCTGAGGGGCCAGTCGCCCGCTTTCCCCCGGTCCCCGCCCCACGCTCGGGGGTCCAGTCGCCCCCTGCTCTCCGGGTCTCCCCCGCCCCACGCCCGGGGGTCCAGTCGCCCCCTGCTCTCCGGGTCTCCCCGGCCTCTGGCCTCAGCTGCTGGGCGGCGAGCCCCTCCACCGCGCGGTGACAGGCGGGTTGCAGGTGCCCGGCAGGCTGTTTCTCAGCGTGCACTTCTCAGACATTGACGCGACTGGTGGGCGGGAAACCGGGGCTCAAGCCAAAGCAATGGGCGCTGAGAGACAAGCCAAGGGGACGAACGGCGGACTTGGAAACAGAGAGCTTGCGTCTCTTTCTTCAGAAACGTCTCAGGATGCCCTCTGACCTCTGCACCTGCCGCCAAGCATTATCCGTATTGTTAGTTTTCATTTTGACTTTTAGATGGTGTGGACGCGCCTATGGAAGTTTCAGCCTATATGCTTATTGTCGTGAAAATTATCTTGAGGTAATTTTTGTTCCTTTACCTCCCTCCCCCCCTTTTTTTTAAAGGCTGAACTCCGAGCAGCTGTGTTTTTAGCACTAGAGGAGCAAGAAAAAGTAGAGGTATGAAGTCTACAAACTTTAATGTGACCATATTCATTTATGTTTAATTTCTAATTACTTTAAAACCATTGTAAGAGCAAGGAGTAATTTTGAACTAAGGATTACTTTTTTTTTTTTTAACTCTTGGGAGGGATTTAAGATTATTCTCTTTTTGTGTATATTTTAGAGTTTTGGAGTAACCTAAAGAAAGTGTAGATACCACAGCAACTCTGAGGCTAACACTAAATCTTATAGCTCCCTTTCCACAGGGAAAATCTGAGACACAGGCTGATGGAGCTGCTTGAAGAAATGGTTTCATATTCGCGAGTTTACTGAAAGACCCCTCAGAAGCTTTAATATGCTAATATGCACCAGGTGGGGGGAAGATAGTTTGCAACCTTTCCCCAAATTTTCTGGCCACCCAGTTATTTAAAAATCATGTAGTCTTTCTTATGTCAAAGATCCAGTCACTTCCCGTATATAAGTGTGTTTAGTTTTTTCTCTCTGTGGCAAGTCCATCTTGAGTAAATATCTTGGAACTTGTTGTCAACAAGGATTGTTCCATAATCAAGGCCTTCACCTTCCTCTATGACACATTAGCCTCCTCTTCTCCTCACTTTAGACTGAGATTCCTGCTCCTGTGTAACTTCATGAAAGTCTTCATGTTTGTCCAGGCATCAGTCTTCTCTTAGCTGCCCTTTGTTCTTAGCTGATCCGGACCCCATGGTCCATATCTCAGAAACCCTCACTACCTTGCCTTCCAGCCCTGCTTGATTTAGGAAAAATCTTACTGGTCATTTAATTGTGCAGACTAACTCCCTTCCCGCTTTGTGTTTGCACTAGAGCAGGCACCTAGCTCTGTGGACTGCTGGTGTTCCTGTTTGGAGGCTCCAGCCTCTGTGAGGTCCTGAGCTGGCCCCGCTGCACATCTTTACTCAGCAGCTCCCACTTCACCTTCACGCAGGCCTCCTGCCTCACCTGATTCCTTACTCTTGACAGATGGTCTTGTGTCTCCCTTCATGAGGGAAGTAGAAGCCTCGGGCCCGAGCTTTTTGTGTCCTTCCCTGCAATCTGTCACTCCCCTCAGAAAAAGCTTCCATCACCTGTGATGATCTGTTCCTCTTTCCTTCCTGCTTTAGTTGAGACAACTCCGTCTTGTCCAAGAATAATCACTTTCTCTGGGTTTTGCCTTCTAAATGCTACTCACTGTCAGTGCCTCTCCGATTTGCTGTTATCTTTGGCCTCCCTTTCTGTTGGCTCTAATCTTGAGCACGGAAACATTTTTACATCTCAAGGAGACAACTGGTTCTCTTGACTTACGTTCTGCTTTTAGTACCTCTAATTTTTTCCCTCTTGGCCTAATTTTGAAAGAATGTGTCTGTCTAATACCTTTTCTTAACTTCCAGGCACCCTCTAATTCATTCACATCCTACATCCATCACTACTGCCCCTAAGTTCTTTTGCTGCTGCCAAGAAGAATCTCCAAATTGAATTTATTTAAGTCCTTACCTGTCCTGGTCCTTATCTTAGCACAAAATAGTTCCTGTAGTAATCAGTAGTTGTAGAATGGTTTTAACCATAGTTTTATGAATGTCAGTATTTTACTTAAATTTTTGCCAAAAAATTAAACTTTATTCTTCCTTTTGTAGTGGTTTTTAAAATAAACGCATAACACAATATTTCATTTTTTAACAGAACAAAGCTCCTCTAGTCAACGAGAGCCTGAAAAAGTTTCTGAATACAAAAGATGGTAAGATGTTCAGCTTGTTCTTGTTTATTTTGTCTGTCTCTGAATTTTCAAATCTTGACTTCATTTGAGAGAAATCAGAAATATTAGAGTATTTTTTTGAAGTCTGTGATTCTTACAGATTCTCATTTTAAACCGTGTTTTATTGTACAACTGTTACGTTGCCATTAAATATCAGTAGCCATGGGAAATTGTCAATTAAAGCCAATTTTACTGTAAAAAGCAAAATTCTCTAATCCATTTATGAGATGTCACATTATCTTAGTTCTACACTGATAACCCTAATGAGGAAGCAGGAGGCTGAGATGTTCGTTACTTAATTGTTATTCAAGAGAAGGAATTTGTAATTTAAACAGCTAGGAACCTTCTTTTCTCCCTTTACTTGTCTTACTTCTCAGTGTTAGTGAGGAGTGTCTGGTTCCTGCACAGTCACCCCCACCTCTCTTGCTCTTCGCAGGCCGGCTGGTGGCTAGTCTCGTTGCTGAATTTCTTCAGTTTTTCAATCTTGACTTTACCCTGGCTGTTTTTCAACCTGAAACTAGCACAGTAAGAATAATGATTTCTACGTCTATTTTTGAAACTGTCTTTGATGAGTTTATTAAAATCTGGAAGTTAACAAGATTTGAAAACTTACAGCGTCTTGCATAAAGATTATTTTTTTATAGTTGACTATCTGTTTTTCCTAACAGCTATCTGAGCTGTCAGGTAGCTGGCACCAGTGTCCCTGCTTCCTGTAACTTGACGGAAATGTTATCATAGGGTTAGTTTGTTCTGATGTTAGAATACATCTGTTAATAGAGACTTTGAATATAGAGACTTGGTAAAAGAAATGTATAATTTTTAAAAATGGATACTTCATTCATTAGAAAAATGGTCTTTTTTACTTTGGAGATGTCTAAGTTCTGAAAATATTTTTCTTTAATCTTTGAAAATAATTTTTTTGCTATATTTTTGTGCATTTATATTTTATTTCTTAACATCTTATTTCTTTTTCAGTTTCAAGGTCTTGAAGGTCGAGAGAATTTAGCCCGAGATTTAGGTATTATTGAAGCAGAAGGTACTGTGGGTGGACCCTTATTATTAGAAGTGATCAGACGCTGTCAACAGAAAGAAAAAGGGCCAGCCACTGGGGAAGTGAGTGCAGCCCAGTCCTTTGTTGTCTGTGTTTCTGTTCTGCAGTTGCTGCATGTTGAGTGTGGCCATTGCGGGTGGTGTACACCTAGTGAGTCAGGTTTAAATAGAAAGAGGCTATTTCTTAAAAACAAAACAAAACATACTGGGACAGAGATTGTATAAATGCACATTTTGATGAGAATTGAAGTATGAAAGTTCTGAGGCTGCTACTGCACCTGCTCTGGGGGTTGACACTCAGAGCTTGGGTTCGGGGGCCGGTCTGTGTGGAACCAGTCCCAGCTCCTCCACTAACGGGCCTCCGGCCTTCTCAGCTACTCCACGCCACCCCTGCCAGCCCTCCTCGGTGGAGCGGGCATGGTCGACGTCCTCGCGGGCCTTGTGAGCTTGGGAGGCTCACACCCGCAGGTTAGTGCATGTGAACTGCTGGGACCACTCAATTGCTGGTCATTATTTTTGTTACTATTTTTAAACATAGAAGGGCTGAATTAGAGGTTAGTTAATAATTTTTTAACTTAAAGCCTTTTTAAAACTAGGTTAAAATTTTTAATTGTTGATTTTGCAGTTTCTAAACATTTTCATACTTTTTTTTTTTGATTAGCCATTGTCTTTCTTATCCTTTTAAGAAATCCTGCTAATGAGAGTAATGTTTACAAACATTAGCTTTTGTAAAGATACTGTGTCTCACGGGTAGAAAACATTGTAACTATTCCAGATAGCTGGTCAATGCGTGCTTTTGATCAGAAGTCGATGGGAACGTGGGGGGCTAGGGGCTGTCTCTTCTCCATCTGGAGAGTCTCAGAGTGTATTTCCCCTTAGAATCTTTGAAAATCATTAAAGCTGGACTGAGTGCCTACAGCATCTAAGGCATACTAAAGAGATTCTTTTAATTAAAAGATAAAAGAATAAAAAGCAAGTCACGTGTCCTAGAAGAGTGAACAGCCGTTCAGGATACGCTCACATAAGGAAGTGGACATTTGAATGATGGTTTATCATTACAGAGGAAGTGTCATATACTACGTGGTCAGTCCATTCTTTCTATGAGTAATAATTTTCAGTTAAAGGGGGCAGTGGTTGTTCTACATTGAAATTGTGTTAGGCTCCCCCTTCACATGAGAGTAGGGAGAGGACTGGGAGGGGTGTTGGAGGAAGCTGTGGACCTGGGTGGAGCGTGATGCCTCCTCCTGTCCAGGGGGCGTGTCCTCATTGCAGCTCATGTTCAGGTTTATTTAGCAAGTATTTGATGTGTGCTTATTAAGTGATGCCATTATGCTAGTTACTAGAGAATTAATAAATTTAAAGAACCCCAAACAGAGTTGGTTCCTTCTCTCTCTTGGGCCAGTCTACAGGTGGTGGTGACTTCTCTTTCGGCTTCTGGGCCCCTGACCTCTGTCTCTCTTTCTGCCCTTTCCTTTCATTTCCATTTGCTCTCTGGCTCGCTTGGTGCAGTGGTGGGTGCCTTCCGTTTCCCTGGTTTGCTCCCCCTTCGTTAGCACACTCGTAGTAACTTGGACTCCTGAGCCAGACTGCTTGGGTTCACGTCCCAGCCCTCCCTTGTCCTGTGTGTGACCCTCTGAAGCCCCTTAATCTCCATGCCTTGGGTTTCTCACCTGTGAGATGGGGATAATCAAGTATGGACCCCGTGGTGTAGTGCGGACTGAAGGCGTCATACGTGTAAAGCTCTGGGGGCGGTGCTTTGCATGCACGATCGTAAAACTATTTGCCATATTTATTATTTCTCTCTGTTACTTTGCTGCTGTTACTGCAAGGATGACTCCCTAAGTCCAGCTCAGTTCTTTTCACTAGCTTGAGGCCAGAATTTCCAGCTCTTCACAAAACATGCCCACCTGGTTAACTCGTTAGCACGTTTGAGTCATGTTTGAAAAAAACTGACTGTATTCTCTTCTAACAAAGTGAAAGCTGCACAAGACCAAAAAAATTCCTCCTCCCCGCAAAAACCCTCCAGTTCCAGTTCTTCTGCACTGCTTGGTTTACATTGACTCTGTTCCTGCGACTCCTTGGTTCCAGCCCAAGGACTTGCCTCTCCACTTGGCCCTGGGCTCAGACTGCCAGTAAGGGTTTGCTGTCCCTCCTGTACGCCATAGCTTCGGCACCAGGTTGTGGAAGAAAGGTTGGTCACTGGAAAGCTCTCTGTTCCCCACTAGACAGATGTGTGCCTCAAACTGAGACCCAGTAAGAGCTTTCCTGTCTAGTTGGTTTGATTTGAAATTCAAAACTCAATAAATGTAGTCTTCAGTATGCCATTCTGACAGGTGGCTCCAGAGCCTCCTGGTCAGCTTGCCCTGTGTCGTGGTTAAGGTCTGTCACACAGGCCGAGAAGAGGAGTCCTGCGGCTTCCAAAGGTGATGGCTTTACTCCCTCAGGATGCAGGCAGTGAGTTGGGCATGTCATCTCTACTTCCTGCTAGTTTTCCTCTCTTAGTACCTGCGTATCTTAATGAAAGTTCATGTGTGTGTGTGTACACGCAGAAACAACTCGATTTATACTTGAAATAGGGAGCTCCTAAGTGTCCAGTTCGGCCCTTCTGTCATTTACTAGCATTTATCACTTTGAAAGGAAATACGTGATTTATAATGAAATAGAAAATTACAGGTTTGATGAGCCTTCTTTTGTCTTCTGGTGCTGGAGGAAGCCAGCCGTGGAGTGGCCCACTGGGCTCGGCGGGCGAGGCTTTTGCCGCGAGTGCGTCTGACTCCTTCGCGACCAGGTTGCCGTTCCCGCGTCTGCTCAGTCTCTGCTCTTCATGATTGCCGAGTTTACGTTAAAATTCAGCTCTTTGTCTCTTTCTTTCTTTTGTAAAATTGCAGTGACTTTGTAATGGCAACTGAATAATCGCCAGGTTCCTCACCCTCAAGATCCTGCATGATGTCTTTGTAACTGTCTGCCTGTTTTTGAAATGTGGAACCTCCTATGTACGCCAGACTGAGCCTACCCTTGGACGTGGCCTTTGCTTCCTTGCCTTCTTCTTCTCACCTGTCCTCCACCTGAAACGGCACATTGTCCCCTTGCCCGGCCGTGCGGTGTTGCCATCCACGCACTTTCCTGACTCTGGCTGTGGAGATGCTGTCCCTCATTCTTCCTCTCTGCTTGTGATTTAGGGCCTCATCCTGCATAGCTGTAATAAGTTGCCTGTTTTTATGCGGGAATTACTGCTTGATTTTTTTTTTTTTGAGACAAAATGAAGTAGGGAAGCAAGTCCAGGGAGGGTGGAAAGAGTAGACCTTTGAGGATCACAGGACAGTAGTGGTGTTGAGAGTGGAGAGGGAAGTGAGAAGGTTAACTGCAGAGAGGAGGCTGAGGCACACATACATGTGCACTGAGTAGCCTGTTCAGGGTGACTGAGTGAAGTACCGGCAGGTAATTAGAATCATAAGTCTGTTTTTGATAAAATTTGAAGAAAATCTGATAAGGATATTCATATTAATAGGAACAAATAAAAAATGCTAGCATTGTGTGTAGTGGTTTTAAATGCTGAAATTCTGTTGAGGCATAATTGGTGTGTTCATGCTTTATTTTTAAGTGTTAATTTAAACTGTGAAATATTTTAGGGTGCGCTGGATCTGTCTGATGTACACTCTCCACCACAGTCACCAGAAGGAAAAGCCAGCGCGCACACCCCCCCCAGTAAGGTGAGCCGGCTGTGGGGGCTCCTGGGGCACTGGGTTCTCTCTGTAGTCTTGTTATAAGTTTTGTTATTGTTAAAAGTTCTTTTTTTTTAAAATCCTGAGAATCTTGTTTTAATATTTAATCCTTTTCAAGTCACTAATTTTAAATATAAGTGCATTAAGTTTATATTCACAGTACTAATTACTACAATATACTATAATAAATTTTGTCATAGTTTTGTGTGTGTGTGTCAGAGGGTGTAAACCTCCTTACTACAACCTAATTCTTCTGTCTGTTCAACAGAAACTTTTTTTTTAAGGTCATTAAATTGTAGTGTCCTTTCCCAAACACAGTAGGCTTGTATCCCTGTGGTGAGTGTGGAATCATTGCTTTCAGGGAAATTAACATCCAGTCATGTGTTTCATTTCCTTTGGCGACTAGAAAATGGTAAAAGTGCTTGAAAGACAGACCCTACAGCGATGTTGAGGGAGAAGATGTATTACCTACTCAGGCACCAGCAAGACGTTTAACAGTCCGAGTGAGACTGCAGTGTGACGGTCTGTGCACGGTCGGGGCCTGTCTTAAGCTTCATGCGGTTCTGTCTGTCTTCACCATGTGGCAGTTTGCGTTGCTGCAGCAGGGGAAGCTTTTGAGTGTTCTACTTTCTGTGTCAGAATAATTTTAGAGAGCGTGATTCTTTGATGAAGTATGTATTTTTAAAAATTCTTCTGCTTTGTTGACAGTGTTTTGAATTTTGTATCATATAAAGGAGTATGCCCTAAATAACAGAACCGTATGATAATTGGATTCATTTGGTACTTTTGTCCTTCGGTTAACAAAGAAGTTAACTTACTTTTCACTTAAAAGTTCTTGTAATTTGAGACTATCAGGTTCTAGAATATAGAATTGTTGTGCTGAATATTGTAGGCAGGTGCCCAGATTTGATACTGTAAATCATGGTGATTTTTTATTAATGAGCTATTTTGAGGATTTATGAGAACGTGTATGTGCTCTGTTTATATTTATGTATGTGTGTATGAGATGTTAAAAGTTTTGGCCTGATTTCGGGGATGTGGCACAAGGGAAATAAAAATTGAGTGGAACACTTGAATTTAAAATCAAGGCTCTACGTAACAGCAAGAATGGGTAGAGAGGTGACCAAGGCGCTGTTGGACAGAGTGATTAAACGTGAGTTGAACCACTTTAGGAAGAGTGTTGAGAAAGACTAAAGGTGCAGGAAGGTGTTCTCTCCTGTGCGTGGCTGAGCGCAGCCCGCGCCGATGGAGCCCACCCACCTGACCAGAGCGTGCGCTTGGGTCTGAAGGTGCCGCGTGGCTTCCTCTGCCTTCCGTTCTGAGGGAGGCCACGGCTGCTTTCCAGAAGGGGTTCCTGGTGCTGCGTCACTCGCAGACACAGGCTGTGTCTTTTCTAACTAGGTGGACTTGCAGAGGGCAGTAATTATACCGCTGGATTGCTTCCCTTTTCAGGCGCCTGGGACACCATTGGGTGGTTCCTGTTGTTACTTGTTTCTTGTTCTTTGATTTCGCTCCTTTGTTGTTGTTCCTTTTTATTTTTTAAATTTAGAAATCGGAGGGATTTTGTTCTTTATTTCTAACCAGGGAAGGAGGCCGTCATGCTCTTGGTAGCTGCTCCTCTCCCTTGAGACCTAGTCAGCCTTTCCTGGTAGAGGTGGTTGGTCTTGGAAGGTGTTCCCCTGTGGTGCTCCTGGACAGCTGAAACTACTGGCACAGAATGAGGTTGGGAGTGAGTCTGAAATTCCCTTCAAATTAAGTGCCAGGTAAAAACAAAGCCTTGCTTTCTGTGAAAATACCTGGTTTTAGAGGGATTAATGAATGCATATTCCAAAATACTTACTGGTACCTATGGTATTGAGTTATTTGGAAATTCTCTTTTTAGTGAATTACTATTTTTAAGGCCAATTAGCAATACTAATTTTCCACATATTGTGTGTCTTCAAGATAATATATTAATGTCTGTTTTACGTACCCCAATTCTATGTAAAAATATTTTGAAATTTATCATGAGAATTATCATGAGCATCTCAAGTTTTAAGTCAGGAAATGTTGCTCTAAATACAGAGAAGTGATAATTTTAAAGGTTAATTTGGAGACAGTGATTGTCTCCTTCCAGCAGAGCCTGGGCTCCCCAGCAGCATTGTGGGCCTGCGGCAGCCCTGGGCACCCGCAGAACGCCACAACTCATCTCGGGGGGCTGGGGTGGAGTCTGTTTAAAGATGAGGTGTTCGTTGGCAATGAAAACTCAGTTCCCCTGTAGTCCTGAAGGGTCTGGATTTGGGATTCCGGTACTTTCCCCATCCTTTTCCTGCCAGCCTCCTTCTCTCTCTCAGGTCTTTGAGTAGTTCCGAGAAGGGCGTGTGCATTAGGGCTCCTCCTCAGTCTGGAGAGCACTGGGAGTTCTGGGAAGCTGTGGCCAGGCTCAGGGTCCAGCCCGACCTTGAGAAACTTGCTTTGTGTCCTCCTGAGAAAGGTAAGGTAGAGCCAGGGCCATTCTTGAAGGAAGCTGCTAGGAAGTCAGGGCTGGCTGTCCTGGAGCGCTGATAGGAGGGCGTGAAGGAGGCGGCTCCGCGTGGCCGGTGAGCTGGGCACGGCCCCGGTCTCCTCGTCCGACCAGGTCTCTGTGGGACCAAGTCATCAAGTGTGAGCTGAACCACGTTAGGAAGGGTGTTAAGAAAGACTGGAAAAGTGGGTTTCAAAGGGTAACATAGTAATTAGATTTTCCAATTTTAAGACACTTTTCTAATAGGAATCTTTATTAGTTTGGTATGAGTTTATTTTTAAAGATGTACATTTTGTGGTAAAATGTCATTTTATTCTCATGCTCAGATACCAAGGTATAAAGGACAAGGTAAGAAGAAGACAAGCGGGCGGAAGGCTGGCGCCAAGGTAACACGCGGGAGGCCGCGGAGGGCGGCGGGCCGGGCAGACCCCGCCCTAGCGCCTCCTCGGACCCTGAGTTCCTGTTGGCCTGGGGTTAAGTTTTGTTTGGAGATGTCACTTTCTTTTATCTGTGATCAGAATGTGCTGAGGTCATGGTGACATAAAGGAAAAAGGAATTTGACTTTCAGTTTTTATCCAGGTGAAAACCATACTGTTGTATTTTAAAACTGTATTCTTAGTTTTTCTCTGCGAGTTCCTTGTTTTGTCGGCAACAGAAAAAGTTGAAAATACTTATTTTCCTCGTAAATGATGGTCATGTACATATTCTTAACATTATGATTTTTATCTGAGGGAAATAGAACTTTTTTTTTTGGATAAGTTCCAATCGATAGAGGCCAAACCTGGCTCCCTCAGGACACTTCATGTGTGTTCAGCACCTTTCCCCAGGTGCCGGCTTGCGGGGGCCTGCGGGGACAGAGCCCAGCAGTGATCACTGCCTGGCTGCTGATTTTTCCTCCCCAGAGATCTCAAAATTTGACTAAGCTGGTAGATTAGCTGCTTATAAAATTTAAATACTGGAGCCCTCAGAAGCATTATTAATTATCAGTATAGTTCTTACACTTACTTAGAATAAGATCAAGTTATTTAACGTTCAGGTCTGTGAGAATTGCTAGTCCTTGTTGAGCCTTGGTTTATGTACAGATTTTTTCACTAAGATGAGGATCTCCAAAATTAAAGGGTTTTGAAAAATTGCATTTGCTGTGTTAGCTGGCTCCAGTTCTATTGGTTTCAGTGGTGAATTCCTGCTACTGTATTCGTTCACACTCCTCTTCATTCACTGCTACCTGAGAAGATGTTCTAAAGTGTACGCAAGTATGTTTGGACATTTACGTAGTGAAAGTCTTTGGTGTTACGTGCTGGGAGCAAGACAAATTTAACATGGATCCTCACTCGAGCAGTTTATAGTCAAATTGGAGAGGTGAGACATACACTAAGAAAAACAATTAAGAACATAACCTAGTGTGTTTATAGATGCTTTTAATCAGTTTCTTGTACTTTTTAAAGTGTATTTGATAGTATTAAATTTTAAAATCTTGTTGATGTCATGAGTTTTAAAGAAGTTAAACCATTTAGAAGAAGTCGATGCACAGAACCAAAGCACACCTCGAGACGCTCTTCCCTTTGTGTGCTGGAGCGCAGCTGCACTGTGGGTCCAGACTCGATCCTCCACTCTGGTGGGTGGAGCCTCCTGTGCCCTGAGGGGGACCAGAGGGTCTGTGCCGGCCTTGATCGGGCCTCTTTCATCTCATGCTCCTGAGCCCTGAATTCAGGGAAGCCTTTCGCCTTCTACTTCCCCGTTCTTGTTTCCGAGTTGACTTTCTCTTTTGTACCCAGCACTGCCTGTTTCCAGGCCAACCGGTGACCCTTAGCCCTTCATCTCTCCGCCTTTCTGCTCTGCCCAGTGCACGCAGTAGGTTCCAGTATCCTTAACACCCACCATTCTTAGCATCTCGGTAATCCAAATACCAAACTGATTGGTCGTTGAGGTTGCTCACAGCCAGACTCCAGGGGGAGCTGTTGCCGTGGAGGTGAGTGGCGTTTCCAGCTGGGCACAGCCGCTGGTGGCTGCCCTGGCTGTCCACGGGCAGTGGGCGTGCGGGCCGGGAGCGCCCAGGGCATGTTCTGTCTTTTGCCTGCAGGAAGGCGCAGGTATTAATTGCTCATTCAGAGACTTTTGGCTGTTTTCAGAAAACCTATATTCATATTAGGAATAAACTTAAGAAAACCAGTTACATGTATAACTGATTTGTACTTACTGTTGTAAACCTGTTAATATGCAAAGCAAAATCTAAGGTTTTTGAACTAATTTGAGTAAAAGTGAAAGTCACGTTTCTTGTTCTTGCTACCGTGTGAGATAGTAAAGGCCGGGTAGAGGACTTGGACTGCAGGGGAGACAAATGTCAGGTGGGAGGACATGGCTCTAATGAGCTAAACATTTTAAATGTGTATTAACACTCACTTCCCAAGTGTCCTCTGTAATGGTCTGCTTCATAAACCATCTTGTACCAGGCATGATGCTAGTTGTCTGCAAAAAATAAACACATATCAAAAATTACGACAGACTTTTGGTAGGCTCCTCTAAGGTTTTTACCTTGAGTTGAAAAACTGAATAAGGTATTACATGGTTATTGTTTGCTTTTAATAATAAGCTATTTTAATTATCACATTAAATGTAGCCTGAAAGGTTATCCTTTCTTTTCATAATCAGTTCTTAGGTGTTTTAAAACTGTTGAGGTTTTTTGTTTTTTTTTTTGTTTTTTGCTTCAAATTCTTAATAAATGGCATTTCTTAATTTGTTCCTTGTTTTCAAAATCCTGGGGAAAACCCAGCTTTATGCTGATTTAGGGCGGTGATGGGGATCACATCATGTGTGTTTGGGGGTGTGTTTCTGCATCTTTTGCCGTCACCTTGGGGTTTTCTAGATAAACCAAGCATTATCCACCCCCCCGACACCCACACACCGTAATGAATGGATGCGCACGGTGAGCAGGATACCCAGCACGCCTGTGGCGGTTGGGCCTGACCGGCCGCTTCCCATCCCAGGCTGCTTTCTGGCTGAACCCCGGGAGCTCCGGCTGCAGAGGTGAGAGCAGAGCAGCTGGATGGGAGTGGCTTTAGATCGATCGCACAGCCAGAGACGGCTGCTCATGTGCATCTGTGGGAATTACAGACTTTATAGAGCACAGACTGAGAGTTTGTTTAGAAAAACTGAGTCTTTAGAAAGAGGAGCTTATATGTTGTGTGGATTTCATAATCCACAGTGTTTACTGTCTAGGTAAGTCAGTTAAACCTTGAAATATATGTATGTGTTACAACGGTAGTAAAGTTGCTTCTCTAAATAACTCAGTGAAGTCATGGGTCAAAAACTGCCTTTCGCGGATTGGAGGAGAAAGCTGGGGGCTGAGGCATGGGCAGGGAAGAGAATATAAATTGCACGAATTTTTAAAATACATTTGCAAAACTGGGGTCTTTCTTTGGCTTTGATGTTTCTCTGTTGTGAACAGTGTAGATTAAGCCTTTAGTTTAGAGAAGCAAAATTGTTTTTTCCAGGCTTTTAAGACATTCTAATGATAATTCAGGCTTTGGCTACCAGAAAATTAGTAATTATTTCTCTGTGAAACTGCTCTATGATGCTTATTTTCTGTTAATCCAGAAATGATTACAGTCTTGAATGTAAGTGTGCTAGTAGAAAATAAAACATACGCCAAAAATTTGTATTTAGGAATTTACTGTAATTTACCATAAAACTTACTAGTCTTGAGAGCCATCCAAGGGAAGTAAATGACTGCTGTAGTGCTGTGCAGTAGGCCTCTTGCTTTTTTGAAAAAACAAAACTTGTACTTACAAGTGTTAGTCACTTATTGTAAGTACTTCTTAGTTCCTCGGGCTGCTTTAACAAAATACCACAAACTTGGTAGCTCAAATAGCAGAAATTTATTGTCTCACGGTTCTGGAGGCTGAAAGTCTGAAAGCAAGGTGTCTGCAGGTTTGGTTCCTTCTGAGGGTGCGAGGGAGAATCTGTTCCAGGCCTCTCTTCTAGCTCTGGTGGCTCCCAGCGGTCCTTGGCATTCCTTGGCTTGCAGGCACATCACTCCAGGCTCTACCGTCGTGTTGATGTGGCGTTCTCCCTGTGTGTGTCTGTCCCCTCTTGTAAGGACCCGAGGCTTGTTGAGTTAGGGGCTGACTGGACTCCGCTGTGGCCTCATCTTAACGGATTACATCTGTAGTGACCCTGTTGTAAATAAGGGCACACTCTGCAGCACTGGGGGTTAGAACTTCAGCTTGCCTTTTTAGGGGACACAGTTTAACCCAGAATGTCCTCCAAGGCTTCAGGTTGCCCAGGGAGTGAATTCTGAGGCATTGTCATAGGATTTTTATTTTTTTTTTTGGTCACACTTCTCTATTTCTAACAGTTCTTACTCTTAGCTGCTTAGATTTCATCCTGAATCTTAATTTATCCACATCTAGGTGGTAGAGACTCAACTAACTGAAGTTTATGTATATGAGGCTTAAGCCATGATGAAAGGTTTTAAACAGCTCCCGGGTACATACATCTTGAGTTGACTTGTTGTTCCTCAAAAGATTTGGTCTTCCTTTGAAAATTCCTCTTAAAGTTTGGCAATACTTCTGTTTTAAGCTACAGAATGTTTTGATAGCTCTTTCTCCTCTTAGTGTGGATTTTTTTAAATAGTAAAATTAGTTTGGAATTAAGTTTAGTGAATTCATTAGCAACCCAGTTGCATAATGGTCTTTTTGGTAAAAAATGAGCCCTAGTTAAGAAGTAATGATACATTCCTATATGGCTTGGCATTTGATTTTGAGAACACTTCCAAAGCAGACTGGTGCTTTTAAAATTTAATTTTACTCCATAGGTAAATAGAACTATAATTTTTTTTATTGAGTTAGTTTACAATGTTGTATCAATTTCTAGCACAATTTTTCAGTCATATGTGAATATACATATATGTATATTCAGTTTCATATTCTTTTCACTGTGAGCTACTGCAAGATCTTGAATATATTTTCCTGTGAGAACTGTAATTTTAAAATAAACTAGCTGTTATTTAAAAAATGTGTATTATGTTGAACATCATAATATGCTACCCATGAAACTTGTCTTCCTAAAACTAATCTTTCTTTTCATAATGGCAAGAATACTGCTGAAACCTGTCAAAGGTAATCATGGTGTATGTGAGTTGCCAAGCTCAGGTGGCTTGTTATGTAGCCTTAAGTTATGCTGATGGTGTGGCTTCCCGGGGAGAAGACTTGGTTGGAATAATTACTGTTTCTCGTGATATGCTTTGCATTTGCATTTCATTTTGCTCCATGTTAGGTGTCCTTTTGGATTTTCTTGGGGATGTTTTGAAGGAGAAAGGCTCACTGTCTCAGTGTCTATAATTGTAAATGTATTTAAATAGAATTCAGGTTATTTATTTCCAAATGCATTTTCTTTGAATAGATGTAAATCAATTTTTAAAACACTTATTAATCAGAAATTATAATGGGCATGAATCTCATTAAGAAATACGTAAGTGGATGGTGCTTCTCTATAGTTGTGTAATACCAAGAAAACTTCAAGAAAGTTGTTAGGAAATTGGAAGAAGTGTCTGCTTTGAAAATATCCTGCGTTGTCTAAATGGGTGATACCTTGGTATTTATTTCTTCAGACATCTCCTTTTACAACCATTGATTTGTCTGTATCAGTAGCATGGAAGGTGTACCGCTATACAGGGGCCTAACAATCGTGTAGCATCAGTCTGGCCTGGGGTCGGCTAATCACACCTCTGGCTGGTTAATATAAACGTGTTCCTTCATGCAGACCGGTGCTTCTGTCTACACATGTCGTAGGAGTGAAATCATCCTTAGAGAGGGTCTTACTGAGTAATTTCTAACCCGTGTTGTTACTACCTTGACTCGGTAGTCATTAACTGTCCCCCAGCCACCCGTCTCTTTTTTTCTTAACTACTAGTAATGATTTGACTTGGAAAAAGACTACTCTGGTTCAATTCTTGAGGGATTCATGCCTGGGAATATTCAGTTCCTTAAAGTCATGTGGGCAGTGATGGAGTGTGGGCCACGCACCACATCCTGTGTCTCAGGAACTGCTGTACGCCGTGGTGTCTTACTCCACACTGCCCTCTGTCGTGTGAAGCTGAATCTTGGGAAACTCATTTTTTACCCCTAAAAACTGAAGTTTCAACCTAATAGCAGAACATAAGCCTTTAGAGCTAACCTCTGCAGTCGCGCTTTGATGTCAGACCTCGTAAGTCCCTGGGGACCTTGGCAAGTGACTGAAATGCCCCTACGTCTCCTTTTCCATTTCTGCAAAGGAAACAGACCTGCCCGCACACCATGGCTTATTTTGCAGTTTAGAATGAGGTAACACATGGGACGAATTGGATGGCTTTCCGTAAACATTTGCGGCTTCCATTGTTATTATCATAAGTTTTTGGTTTTGTTGATGTTTTTATTGTTGTTGACATAGACATGTCCAAGGGCAAAAGAAATCTGATCAAGGATAGAACTTAGGGCCAAGTGAAAACACGGTGGGGACTATATTTTGTGCTGACATCACCGGATCAATAGGACAGGACTGGAAATGAGAATTTTGTACATTGGTGTAAGATAGATAGAAACATTTATGTACATGCATCCATGGACGTTTGAGGGAGATGTGGATTAGGGATTTACTGTGAAAGTCTGAACTGAGACTGGTGCTTTAACTAGCACATCTTTCCGTTAGAAATGTGAATGGTAAAGGTGGCGTCTTTCATCTTGGCGTCTGTTGTGTTTGGCACTGGGTGGAAAACTGCTAGTTTTACTGGTGATTACTTTGTTCTGGTGCTTCCCTTACGTGAATTAACCTCTCCCTCCTTTATCAGTAATGCTCTTTTTTTGCGGGTTGGAAACAAGTTAATTTATGAAGCAGTGATGTATGCACAAGAGGAAATGGGAAAGTTTGTTTGTAAATGGGACGGGTGAAGATCTTCCTGTTTAGGGGGCGGGGAAGGAATGGCATAAACAAATTTCTCTGACATTTTTTCCCTTCAGAAGTTACTCTCTGAAGCCTGGGGATGAGCTCGTGGGTCGTGGGGTCACTCTGCACCTCGTGCAGCTGCACGACCCCACTCGCTCGTGCACACCACACAGATCTGCCTGTGTTCACATGCCTTAAAAAGGTTATTTAAAGTGTCTTATTAAAGCTTTGTTTTACCAAGGAGACCTTTTCTCGTTTTCTCTCTGTCTAGAAGGCCAGCAGTGATGCTAGTCAGAGCGACACAAGCATCTCCTCGTCAGAGCCAAAGAGCAAAAGCAGTCTTCACTTCCTGGCCCATGAAGCAAGAGTTGGGTCTTTGTTAAGCAGCAAAAGTCTAGATGCCAAAGACAAAGCTGGTCTTTGTCCAGATGAGGATGATATGGAAGGAGATTCTTTCTTTGATGATCCCATTCCTAAACCAGAAAAAACTTACGGTTGGTGAGTAAACTGTGTTTTTGGATTATCAAACCAGAGGCTTCAGAATAGAATTTCTAAATGTGTTATGTTTAGGAAACGTCCGTTGGAGAAATAATGAGCTGCCAGTGGTTCTGTAATTATTGAATTCAAAAGTCTGATTTTGTGTCATTAAAACCTTTTATTGTAAAACAGTTCCAGGTTTTGAAAGATGTAGCTGTTAAAGGCTTTAGCAGGTGGGTGTCTCCTGAGTGCCTGCCTGTCCAGGCGCCGCCTCAGGTACAGGGTGCAGGTGACAGCAGGCAGGACTCCTGCCTCCGGAAGCAGGGACCCCAGCGCAGCAGCAAGCGGCGGTCGCCACGTGCTGTGCGGGCGGAGCAGGCTGGCTTCGGAGGGCAGATCGGGGAGAGGAGGAAGAGCTGTGTGTGGAGGCCTGAGGTGGTCGGTAGGTGTCGGCGAGGGGAGGGCCTCGCTCGAAGGGTGCCACCTAAGCGAAGAGCTGACGGAGGGGGCGAGAGTGAGCCAGGCAGACGGCTTAGCTGCCAGAGCTCTGCGGAGGGGTGTGGCAGGTCGGGGGCTTAGGGCAAGGGGGCCGCAGGGACACTACAGCAGGGGCTTGGCAGCCCAGGGTTCTGAGCACCAGAGTGACCAGATCCGCATGCACCGTGACAGGCTCACCTGGCTGCCGGGTCCCCAGGTGGGAAGCTGTTCAGAGTATCCAGGTGAGAGATGATGGTGGAAGCGGTGGGAAATAGGTGGTTTGGGTTGTATTAATGAGGTTAGGTCCAAAGGGATTTGCTGAGAAGTGTGCGATAAAGAAAGTGCTGTCAAGGGTAGTTCCAGGGTGTCCGGGCTGAGTGACTAGAAGGTTGAAAATACCATTTCCTGAGAGTGACGAGCGGAAAGAGTGAGATTGGGCTCACAGGTGGGCCATGTGACAGTCTTGAACTCACTTCCCCCCTGTGAGGTTTGAGAAGCTGGTCGATGGAAAGGTGAAGTTGGGTTTCTGGTGTGATCTGGGGACTAAGGGAGAGGTCTGGGCGAGGGATGGACACGAGGGGTCATCAGTCTTAGATGAAGCTGCAGGCTAGGGGACTGGAGGAGGTCACCGGGGAAGGGGCGCTACAGCGGAAAGGGGATGGAGAGGGCCCGAGAGAAGTGGCCTTGAAGGAGGAGCCCGGGGTGAGCTGAAAGTCAGTGCGTTTAGCGACATGGAGGCCAGCGGTGACCTTCACGGGCAGTCTAGTCATATGGGGCTGGGCAGCATTAAAGGATAAGAGGGGGTTCAGGAATGAGAGGAGAGGAGCATAGCTGACGAGGAATTGTACAGGGTGCAGAAGGATGGGTGGGGCTGGAGGGTGGACGTGGGGCTGAGAAACACTGAATGGGATAAAGAACAGCACGTGTGTACGTTGATGAGAACAACCCTGTTCTAAAGACGAGAAGTGAAGTACGTTTGGGAGGGAGAGAGGGTTCCTGGCACTGCTCCTGAGTGCCTGGGCCCAGGGCTGCAGGAGCTTTGAGGTCATCGTGTGCGGCGGTGCGAGGGGCCGCACAGTGGCTGGTCCTGGGCAGCATCACACATCCGCTTGAGGCTGGTGGTCGTCACCAAGGTGTAGGGAGGCCAACTGGCCGGGTTGTTGGCCTGCGCAACACTGCTGCATCTGAGGGGCAGCGCGGTGCTGATCGGTGCCTGGCTCCCCTCATCTACATCTCTGGGCCACGGGAGGGGCTCCTGATGAAGCCCCATACAGTGAGGCTGACGAAGCAGATAGTCACTTGTGACGGCGATGCCTTGCTGCGAGAACGTGCTGTGATCTGAGTCTGCGCACCCCGTGGGTGTGCTGAGTGGTTTGGCGTCTGTGAAATGTATACTCTGTGTTTCCCAGCTGCTGTGTTGCCCATAAGATATACTCAAGTTGCTTATGTTTTAGTGACAGAGTTTATGAATCCCATTTAACTATACTCTTGTTTCTTGTTAGGAGAAGTGAGCCTAGTAAGCAAGTAGGAAGTCTGACATCGCTCTCTGACGCTCCCCCCTTAAAAAGTGGACTCAGCTCTCTTACTGGAGCCCCCTCGTTGAAAGAGCCTGAAAGTAAGTGTCTGGAAGTCCCTAGATTTGCTGACTGAGGACTTGGTCTTAGAATGCTGATAATATCTTTTAGTCTAATTAATTAAGTAGTGTATGATCATTGCTTATTTTTTTGGAAAAATATATGTAAAATTATAAAAATAGCCCATAATTTTACCCCTCAGTGTTATTTTCTGTTAATACTCTATTATTTTTAAAATTTCTTTTGAATGTGGTCATATTCTGTATATTGTTTTGTACTTTGCTTTTCCTTTGCCAGGAAAATACTTATAGGAAATTGACTTTTTAGTTGTCTTATATAATGCATTGGGATAATTTTTAAACCATCTCTCTTTGTTGGACATTTAGATTGACTTATGTAGGATTTAAGTTCAGTTTTTAAAAATTGTTTCACAGATTCTGTAGCTACCGCAGTAATCATCATAGGAATGTTGAAATATTATTCTGCCTTCAGGGATTTGGATCAGATGTGTCTTTTTATGTGTAGCAAGGATAAGGATTGTTAGCTAAACACAGAATAGCCCTGCTGCTGCACACAGATGGCGACAAGACCAGGGATCTAAAAAGCGCAGCCTCACATGTGTACCCCTGCAGGTACACTGAACTGCATCAGAGTAAGTGCAGGATTAGGCTGGCAGAGTGTGTACAGCGTAAATCTGCCTCTTTGAGTGGCTGTTTATTAGGAAACTGCGCTGGGATTTTGCATACCTCATTGTACTTACTGACCTCCTTGTGTTGCATGGTGCCACTGTAGGTCTCCCAGGCACGTGGAGGAGATGGTCTGTGGCTTCTCTTAGCCATCTGGTAGACCAGCCCCGTAGCTGTCAGTACGGCCCACATCAGTTTCCCTTCTTCTTTCCCATAGTCTTGTCCCCTTCAGTGAAGGATGCAGACTGTCGTGCTCCTGTCCCTGTTAACGCTGGCTGGGGAGTAATGACTTAGAGAGGGCGCTGAAAACTGGGACTGAAGAAATAAAACCAATGAAGGGAGCAGTCTGATAAATGAAGTAGCAATAAAACTGAAGCAAAATTTAGAAGTTCAAAGGAAAAGTAAAACTGATGAGAATAATTAATTGTAGTCCATGAATTCATACCCGGTTGGGCTTATCAAGGTTAGTATCTGGTAGTTGGGTAAAAACTTATTTTTTTCAAGTTCCGGTATAGCATAGTGTGGTTGAAAAGGGTTGTGTGCTGCCTGATGTGATGTGTAATGCAGTGTGGTTAATCACGGCTTGTAACTCCTCTTTCTTCCTGGTCACTGTGTTTCGTGAACAAGCCCTGCACTGAGAAAAAACTGCCATGGTTTGGAGGCTGTTGTGTTTTGAAAGTTAACGTGACTGTTTTCTCCTGTTCACAGGTAAAAGGGGAAGTACAATTTTGAAAGATCTTAAATTGGTCAATGATAAGATTGGATCACTTGGATTAGGTAACTAGATTTCTAATTTCAGCGTTGATTGTTGAAGGTGATAATTTTTTAGACTAAAATCTTAAATGAAGTGTCAGTCAGCCCACGATAAGCACCTCATGAGCGGATGGTTGGCTGGCTTTTCTGTGTCCAGGGCTACTCTGTGGGCCAGGGTGGAGGCAGCAGGAACCACCCCAGATTCTGTCCTGGTGGAGTTTAAACCTAGTAGGGAAGATGGGCATTGAACAAGTCTGCGCACAGTGTCGTGGAAACGGCTAGCGAGGTGGCTTGTCCTCGGAGCTTGGGAAGGCCTCTCCCAGGATGTGACTTCTCCGCCGAGACCGGTGGGTGAGGCAGAAGGGAAGGGCCTGCGATTCCTGCCGAGGGCACGGCTTGTGCAAAGACAGAGGCATGCTGGGTGTTGGGAGTGTGCTGCTCAGGCCTCAGGGGCTGGTCCACTGGGAGAGGTCGGCTTGTCCTGGGAAACACGGTGGGCGGCTGTGTGCTGTTGTGCAGCGCGGAGCAGCCGTGAGTACAGCCTTCCCTGCGCGAGAGCAGCCCGGCTGCTCACAGGGCCTGGGGCGGCACAGAGGGCTCTGACCGCTGTGCGTGCTGCCTGTGCTTCGCTTGGACGCTCTCGTTTCAGTGAGAAGGTGAATCCCGAGTCCCAAGACACGTTTCTCAGCTGAAGCTTTGGAGCACAAGTACTTTAGTGTGGGAGACAAAAATGCTAGCCAGAGGCACCCACGTTCACTGACAGGCACTGTGCGTGCTTAAAGCACGGGTCGGCAAGCTCTTTGACAGGACAGAGTAGGTATTTCAGACTTTGTGGGCCACATGTGGTCTCTGTTGCATATTCTTTGTTTTTTTTACAATGATTGGAAAATGTAAAAGCCATTCTCAGCTCACAGGCTGCACAAAAACAAGTTGTCACTGGATTTGGCCTGCGGGACAGACTCCTGTCTATAGTCACGTGTATAACAGGAAGTCAGAGGCTCACGTTGTGTTCTAGCGCGTTACGCAGGAACTGTTTTGTCTTTGAATTGGCTACAGAAGCTGGGGCAGGTAGGGGAGCAGTTTTCCCTAAATCCAAAGTGCAGCCCAGCTGTCCCACTGTCTTCGCTGAATTGCCTCTTCTGTGTGCTTTGGAGTTGGCCTGGGGACACCATGCCTGGTCATGGAGGTGGCCTCACGATTTCAGAGTCGCCACCACTGTGGTTTTTCTTGGCACGTGCAGACCAGCCACCTCTGTGGCTTGTCTGATCTGGGGTTAGCTGCCCCCACTCTCCCAGGCGCCGCTGGACACTCGTTGCCCTCGAGCACTGTCCACCTCAACTTGTGAGGCCTGAGTCATCTTGCCGTGAGTGCAGATGGACTGTTTATTCGAGGGGACAAGCAGTTGGGAAACCTGGTGCCCACGCTGCTGGTCGTCAGGACTCCAGGCTCACGCCGGCGGGGTTGGGTGTGGCTGCTGCTGTGGTCCTCGCTTTCCTCAGCCTCGGGTTTTCTCTCCTCCCGCAGGCACAGTCCTCCTGTCTGTCTGATCTGCACAACGCTTGCCTCCCCCCAGCCCTCCCCCTAGTCCTCTGGCCTGAGCCTGCCAGCAGCCTCCTGTTTCCTCCCCTCCTGCCTTCCCTGAGCACGCGTCTTCCTGCAGGGGTTGCGTCCTCTCTGGGGAGTGGAGGTCAGGTGGCACTGCCCTGTTCTCTCTCCTTCCTCTTCCCCTTCCCCTCCTTGCATTTGGGTGTAAGTCCTGCTCATGACCTGCCTGGCCTTGCATGGCCTCTGCCAGCCCTCCTGCTCTCTGCTCCTTTGTCTGCCTCCGCCTGCTGCCAGCTTCGCTGTTCTATGGTGTACTTGCTTCTGCACCGTTTTTCAAACCACCCCAGCCACCCCCCCCGTCTCAGGGCACGTGTTCTTGGAACACACTTTTCCCAATAATTTGTACATCTGGTACTTTCTTTAGGTTTCAGCTCAGCTGTCACCTCAGAGACTTCTTCCCAGTCCCCCTGCCACGTCTGGTTTGTTCCCCTCTTGGCTCTTCCCACGAGAGCGTTAGCTGCTCAGATGAGCGCTGTCACTTGCCGCCGTGCCGCAGGGGCCCTGGCAGTGCGGCAGTTGTGGGGCTTCACCGGAAGAGGGTCACTTTGACTGCCCGTCCAGAACTTGAATCCCCCAACCAGGCCCCTGACGCCTGGTGCCGTGGAGGACTCAGGGGCGTCCCTGAGCCGCCTCCTTTCCCTGGGGACGCGTGACTCTCCGGTGTCTTCACACGCCAGTCGCTCACAGCTGACTGTTAGGACAGGCCTCTAAGTCTTTGCCTCGAGGCCGACCACCCTGCCTCCTCGGGGACGTGGAGGTGTGCGCTCTGCCGAGCCTTGCGGAGCGCTTGGCGCTGACGGGGCTTCACTGGCAGCGCCCTCCCCTCGGGCTGCCGCCTCTCAGGAGGAGCCTGCTGCGTGCTGCTGCCTGTGTGACGTGCTAGCCCTGTGTCTGCGTCACACAGCTGCGGGACTGGCCGTCCTTTAGAGCTGAGGGGACGGCAAGGGCGCGCCCCTCTCCCCTGGCCAGAGTCCTTGAGTGACAGACCCGGTGCTGTGTTTCGAGGGCTCAGGCTGAGCGTGGGCTGCCCTCTGTGACACGGCGCAGCAGTGCCTAGGCGGTCCGCTCTTTCATTTGCTCTCACCGTACATGTGGTAAAAATGTGATTTCTGATCGTTAAGACTTCTTTTTCAATGATGCAACGTAATTCATTAATGTAGTTTTCCAAGGAAATGTGTGTGTTTAATTGTAGGTGAATTGTGACGTGTGTTTATATAAAGATAACATATGTATCTTTTCTTGAACTTGTCAGGGACTGGAGAAGAAGATGACTATGTTGATGATTTTAATAGGTAAGAAAAATAATTGGGCAAGAAATATATAAATTGTAAGCAATTTCTGAACACAGGGAAGTGTGACAGAATTACATGGGCGCTTGTTGTAGTGTCTTTGATTCTCTCGTTCGTATCGATTGAAAGTGAATGGAAGACAGGTAATCCAGAATTATACATTAGACTTGGGAGCATGTTTTTGATATTACATTGGAGTAAGAACATCTATACTGTGTTCAGGGAACTTGATAAGAATGAGAAAAGGAAACACGTCGGAGAATGGCCTCAGAAGCCCCATGGAAGCAGTGCGGCCCGAGGGTGCCCAGCTCGCCTCCTCTCTGACCCTCCGGGGCACTGTCCGCATTCAGCTTGTGCAGAATGGCCGCTCATGTTGTTTTTCTGATTCAGATGACATTTCTTCATATTTTGTTTCAGATAATTTTTTTATATATGTAAAGACAATATAATTTATGACTTGGCCAATAATTAACTTGGAAGTAGGATTTTTTTGTAGATATGATTAGAAATTTTATATTAAAGTCTGAGAATTTTACGTAATTGACAGTTTTTCCCTCCAATTTGGAATTTGTTTATTTTTAAACACACAAGTTTTTGAGAGACGAAATTTTAAAAATCCGGGTTTGCTTCTTTCTTGCCATTGTGGCTGTAGTCACCATGTGACCTTAGTGTTTCTCATCTGTTAAGTGAACTGGACTGCTCCTGCTGCCCTTGCTAAGTCATTTAAAGGGTCAAGTGAGGTGAGATGTATAGAATTAATGATATTTAACATTTTATTCTATTTTACTTCAAGGATTAAAATAATTATCTGGTTGGATTGAAAAATGGTAATTACTCTCTCTAAATGTTTATACTCAGTTCTTAATTTTTCTTTTTTTCCCTTGAAATTAGTACCAGCCATCGTTCAGAAAAAAGTGAGCTAAGTATTGGTGAAGAGATTGAGGAAGACCTGTCTGTGGAGACAGACGACGTCAATACCAGCGATAAGGTACGCGGTGCTTCCCACACAGGCTGCTTGTGCCTGGGCCTTGATTACTGTGGAGCTTCAGAAACATCACTGACTGGGAGAAAACCAGGTGAAAGTTATGAAAAGTTTATGACAGAGCTTCCTGGTCCAAACCTAAGAAGTGTCTGCAGTGGACGTGTAAAGCTGTTTCCTGCTGCTGCTTGCTTTATTAACAGAGTGCTTCTGAAATGCCTGCATGTTATTGTTGGGTTATTGGGGCATCAATTGCTGTGGATGGAGGTCGGCCGCAGTGGGTCAGGACTCGAGTCAGAATAGACCACCTCAGGGTGTAGACAGTGTAGGCAAGCGATCTCTTCAGAGAAGCCAGTGTAGAAAGTTGCTGTGTGTATCAGAGCACTGTGAACACGCGAGGTGAAGCAGAGACCGAGTGCGGAGGGTTTGTGGGACCTGAGCAGGCAGGGAGACAGGACAGCAGAAACGGGGAGTCAGGGTGTAAAATCAGGATTCCGTTCTGGAGGTCCAAATTTGACCTTTCTGTTTGGCGGAGAGCAGAGGACTTAGATGCGTATCAGGCACGAGGCGCCCGGTGGCACCTCTGGACCAGACACGGGTGCCCACGGAGGGCTGTCGCTGCCGCCGGGAGGTGGGCCTCGCTTTCCAGAACGTGGACGGCGTCTCGGGTGCTTGTGCCTATCAAGGATTATCCCACAGGGAGGGGAGAGGCAGCGCCTCGTCGTGAATCTGGGCCTGGTTCCTACCCTCATTCTCAGGCAAGCCTTAACCTTTGAGCTCCAGTTTCGTCCTTCGTGAGAAGGAGGTGTTCATGCCTGCCTCACGGGGTGGTGGTGAAGGCTGAGAGGTGGCATGTCAGGGACCTCCTCTAGCTCTGGGTGCCGTGTGGGTTTGTCATAGTCTGTCTTACCTCTTCACCAGATGCTCTCCGAAAAAGGCTTCAGAGTGTTGCTTTAAAGTTTCCAAAAGAACTGCAGAAGGGTTATTTTAACCATCAGTTTTCTTGTTTATGTAGAGTTTTCCCTGTTAGCTCAGCTTTTGGTATTATCCCCAGTTTCAAAATAGGAAGCAGAAGGTGAGGACAAGGGCTGTTGCATATGAAGCAGGTTGTAGAGCATAAGATAATACTTAAGTCACGGCAGTATGTGTTAAAAATTGTTTAAGACCCTGCTCGCATTCTGACACTAATTCTTTTCTTTCTTTTGAACAACAAAGCTTGATGACCTGACACAGGACCTGACTGTGTCCCAGCTCAGTGACGTTGCAGATTATCTGGAAGATGTTGCATAGACATGAGTGAAGGAACTTCTGATCAGCAAAGGACAGAGGACCCTGATCAGTTCCTTTTTTTCCCCAATCACTCTTTGCTGGAATGTCTGCTCCCTATTGGTGCCTTGTGTTTCAAAAAGACTATAGATATTTTTAAAAATCAACTTTTCATTATACAAATGAAATGCTTCCTGTTTGAGCCCATGTGTGGGAGATTTAGTATTCTTAATTTGGTTTAGCGACGTGTTTCTTTATGGAAATTGATTATCTGCGCTCAGTTACTGCAAGAAGCAAGCCCATGAAAATGCCGGTGTTAGCTCATCAGGAGAGGGGTCAGACAGCCGCAGGTTTCACAGCCCCGTGCGTGCCGGTGGGCCAGCCGCCCAGGGCCAGCCACCGGCCGTAGGTGGTTCTTCTGCAGTTGGCGTTGAGCAGTAGGTGCTTCTGCAGCTGGCTGGCAAGGCGGCCTGGGAAACCTGTACTACGGAGGCCCGTTACTGTGGGTTAAATTCGGTAAGTCAGCTCTATTTGTATTTCCTTCCATTTGGAAGGTTTGTTAGACCATTGAGGTTGTGTTACAATACTCGTGTGTGCTACTTAGTTTTGCTTGTTTTAAAGAAATCCAGAGTTGGTTATGACCTTTGCTTCATGGAGTTGTCCCTGGCGGCTTTTGCAGTCACCGCCCTGTGTCCGTGTCAGAAGCTTTACTCACCGGTTCTCGTTATAATTTATTATTCGTGGAGATGCCTTGAAACATACTAAATACCAAAGGCATCTGGAACCATTAAGCAGCACTTTTATTTCAGGTCTGTAAGTTAATTATATTAAAATCCAAATTGGACTGTCACAGTAGTAATGGCCTAAGACCAGATCCAGTTTGACCAGCTTCATACACTGTACGTAGTTTCATCATAACCCTCTGAAGCCAGCCGGTGATAGACTGTCGGGCAGTCTCGTTTACACTGTTTCCGTGGTGCTGCTGTGGATGTAGGTGGTTGACACCTATGACACTGAAGTGTTGAAAAGAACAATTGGAAGGGATGCGTGCATGTTCATATTAATGTAAGTAAAGCTGTGATTGTGTGTTAAAGTTTGTACTTTTTTATTTCAACTAAATTAAAGCTTTTTATTGAAAGTCATCTTTATTAATAAAAGCAAATTAGACCTAATTCATTGATCTCAGTGAGTGAACAGACTTTGTGATTTGTATAATGCCCCTTTTTCATTTCACATTAGTCTGAATATTACAAAAATATTTAAATAGGCTTTAATATGTAAAGGGAGATGATAATGTAAGGGTTAAGGTTATTTGACATTAGAATCTGATTTTACAAGAAACTGAGCCATAAATGCCGAAAGGCGGTAGGACAGAGACGGGCCAGGGAGCCTGCGTCTGCCCGCAGCCTGTGGGCTGTCAGCTCGGTCTCCGTCAGGCTCTGCACGTTCTGTGTGAGGAAACAGCGCTGCCTGGAGATGGACTCTGCTGCTGGAAGTCTCCCGATGTGCTTGGTTATAAAGTGTGTTTTCTTGGAGGTCACTCTATAAACAGTCGCTTTCTGTAAAGACCGTAACTGTGTTCAGCCCTCTGGAGTCTGTCAGGTGTGTGACTTTTGAATCTTTGTTAGGAGCTAGATTTCAGTGAAGTGATTATTGGGGGTGGCTCTTTAATTTTGTGGAAAAATTTGAATAGTAGCATCTGAAGTGTGTCATTTCTTTATGACCCATAGACTCCCACCTTTTGATAATATCTGGGAGGATGGGGAGGAAAATGCCAAATACGAGACCCTGCATCAGGTGAAGCAGCGCTCATGACGTAGAATCCAGCTCTGGAAACGCCTGGCTCCCACGCTGTCCCCTGACTAGGTGGAAGGTTTTGAGTGTGATTAAAGAAACACGTTGAAATAGTAACCCGTGAAATAACATTGTTATGGTAAAACCTGTGTTTTACAGTAGAATCTCCAAATGTCTTGTTTGTCAGATGTCCATAAGGTGTCATTTTACTGATGTTGACTGAAGTGGATAAGAGCTCACGCCTTTTCTGTTTTGTAGTAACAGTAACGCAGCGCCAGCGGTGCCGACGCTGTCTGTGTTCTGTCTGCACCGCCTGCCTCTGGCCCCTGCTCCAAACCTGCACCTGCCACACAGCCCGACTGCTCCTTCCAGCTGCCTGGGGGGCTTCCGTCCGAGGTGTGCTTGCCTCTCCCGGCCTGGGCCAGGCTGGCTGGTTTCCCTCCCATGGCATCACGGCCGTGTTGACCCCGTGGTTCCTGCTCGCCTCTCATCGCTGCCTGGAACGCACTGGGCTGTCACCGTAAGCTCCGCTGGATCAGGGACTTGACGCAGCATCCGCCGTGGTCTGTGCTCAGCAAGGGTCCTGGGGCTGGGGGCTGGGGCTGGGGGGAGCAGGGCTCCAGGGAGCTGGACTGAGGACCCCGCTGGACGTATGAGGAGGGCCAGCAAGGAGAGGCCGCGCCCGGGCACCCCATGGGTCAGACGCAGACCCTCCTGGGTACCACCTTGGGCTGGCTTGCACACTGACCCATCCACCCTCCTGACACGGTCCACACCGCCAGCCTCCATTGTAGGAAGGGGGTGTGTTGGGGGAAACAGGTGCGGAGGAAACGAAGGCAGCCACACTGTGTGCAGACGGAGGCGCCCTGGGAGGAGGGGAGAGGACAGCACATGACCGAGGCGGGGATGAGCCAGCAGAATGGCTTATCATGGATGAAACATAATTCAGAGAACAAACAGTTTTGAAGTAAAAATCTAATTGCTCTATGCAAGATTTGAGAGATTTTGTACCTAAAAAAGGCTGCTGTGAAAAGATTCAGTCAAAATAATTTTTGCTTAAAAAATTATGTGGCTCAGTTGTTCAGTGGAAGGGCTGAAAATGGGACAACAACAACAACGTGAGTGAACAAGGAATTCTCTGTGCGTGTTTAGCAGAGACCAAGATAGAGACGTGGACACAGGACTGATGAAGGACTGCAGCACCCACATGTCCGGCGAGGGGTTCTGGCCACCAGGGGTAAACCGAGGTAGAGGCGTTGGCAGAAACTTGGTTTTACTTGGATGTTGAGGGAAAGGAGAAGAGAGAGCTCCTTGGGTGATCGCTCGGTTTCTGAAGAATTTCTGTTCTTCTAAGGCCTCATTCAGATGTCACTTCCACGTCAAGTCTCCCTTCATCCCCTTAGCTGCCTCCAGTGTCGTGCATTTCACAGTCTGGGTTTTTCTTGTGTCCCTGTCAGCAGTGGCCAGCTTGGATTTCTGGTTGTGACTTCACCACCACTTAAAGGAGACTTGGATGGTAACAGAATGAAAGCCACCAAAACTTTCGAAGAATCGCAGTATGCCATAAACATTTACATCAAACATGATTTTCACAGCCCAAAGTGCATTGAATTTCTTAACAGAAGAGAATTGCAGGATTTAAAAATAACAACTCTGAGGGCCCTGCAGACAGAGCTGTCCGGGGTGAGATCCGAGCTTGAATTTACAGGGTGAGCGTCTTTATTCAGTCCTGCGGCTCAGGGTCCGTGTGAGGAGGAGGACCGATAAAACAGAAATGATCCCAACATTAAAAACTAACAAAATACTTCTCCAGATTTTACCCCAAACCGTCGTTCATGAATTAAATTTTGCATAGAAATGATGATTAGGCTCTTGTATTACTCGATAATCCAATTAATGAAGAGGCGTGCATCATGTAAACACAGTAAAAACATTTAAACTTACTAATGATTTGACAAAATATTGATAAAGACAGCATAAAACATGATATGCCGTTAGGACAAGGGTCTTAATGAAAATCTGGTGAATGAATGTAATCAAGAGAGCATATATGTTATTAAAATGTTACTAGTCACTGAAGGAAAAATCTGAAATGCTCTAAATCCCAAACTCCTGTGGGAAAAGAACTTGAAAAAGTTTTCCAGAATTGGACAATTCTGACAGGTGAATGACATTTCCAAAATGAATTCATCAGTCGATAAAACTCTTAAAATAATAATTGCAAAACCATCTTGATCAATCATTCTAAAGTAAATTTATTTTTTATCTCCACAGAGGTATTTTAAAAAGTCACTCTGGTTGAAATGTGCTATCAGAAGGGATGCCATTAAAACAATGTAGGAAAACTATTACAAAGCTACGTCAGGCAGTTAACGAAAATATTCTCCTGTATTTTGCAATGTTTCTGGTATTTGTCAGATTTTAACAGTCTATAATTTGTTGGGGTTTTGTTTCTGTTCAGTCTCTACACCTGTAGCGATTCTGTGTGGTGATTCTGTGTCCCTTCTCTAGCAGAAGGCGGTCCCCACTGCCTCCGGCTTCCGCACGCTCTGCCAGGCGGGGGCCTGCCCCCTGGCCAT